CTTTTTAATTAAAGCAGTTATTGAATCTAGTCTGCACTTTATATAATTTTTCAGTTTAATTTTCAACTGAGAATGAATTGCAAATTCAATATTATTATCTATTATTTGCTTTAAAATTTTAACCAACAAAGACAAGAAGCTTACCTTAACCTATCTTTATTTCGCATTTTATTGCAGTGCTCTCTGTTATAAGTTTTTACTGGTCTTTTGGAAACGCGAAACTAGTAAAAATTGTTGCAAATTTTAAATATGGTCACCTAACAATGTTATGATGTTCATACTATGCTTATCTTCTTCTTATTTAGCACTGCAGTGCACCTTAGTCTCCTTCACAAACTGCCTCCATCTGTATCGATCTTCTGCAGTTCTTTTTCAGTTCAAAACTCCGAGCTTTCTGGCGTCCTAGTAAATGTTTTCTTTCCATCTCAGCTTCGGTCTGCCTTTATGTTGTCATCGAATTGGCATGAAATATATTAGCCGAAATTTCTTTCGGGTCCAATTTTTACAACGTGAGGTGCCCATTGCAGTCTTTGTGCTTTGAGAAATTTTACTACATTTTCATTTTTAAGGTGATCTTCAATTTCGTTGTTTGTTCGTCTTTTGAATGTCTCGTCTTCCATTCGAATAGGTCCATATACTATACTCATACTATTATATATAACAATATTAATATCAAAAATCAAGAATTTCATATAAATCTTTTTGATTTCAACTTTGTTTGTTGTCGAAATCAAGAATAAGTCCAAATTTCAGTTGATATTAATAACAAAACTTTCGAGAGAATGCAGTATAAAGCATATTTGAAAACATTTAATTCTATAATATAATAAAATTTAGTTCCACTTTTAATATGAAATCATTTAAAAAACTTTAGCTAAAAGCACATTTATTTTTTAATAGTCATGTGATAATTAAGGATTTATATATTTTTTAAAAACAAAGTAAAAATAAATCTGCTAATCAAAATAGATTTCCAACAGATCATTTACAAATACACATTTTTTTAAATTATAGTTCAATTCAGATAATATATGAGAGAATCATATTGAAAAGCAAATTTCTAATAAAAATAAATTATATTTTATTTCGTTATTTTGTTATTAACGAAATTTTTGCAAAAATTGCTTATTGGGCTCTGTGCAAGTTCGAGTAAATTGAGGGAAGTAGTAAATTATGTCGGTATGGCAGCAATGTTGGTATTTACTAAAATTTCAAGTAGAGTAAATTAGATAAAAATCATTTGCACAATGGTGTTACCAAATTACCAAATTTTATTAGATGTTTAATAAATAAATAAATAAATTTAAAAACTTTTAACCAAAAATAATAAATAAGTGCAAGAATTAAACAAATAAATATTTACATTAGTACAGTGCAAAAAATCCCTAGGAAATTTCCATTTACTTTACCTCAATTTACTCAAACTCCCACACGGCTTAAAATGTAAACAAAACTCTACAACTAGAAATTTTAAAAGCTTCTACCCATTCCCTATATAGCTTGTGCTAATATAAACGACAAAAAGCTCCATGTTACTAATTAACTTTGTAAGTAAGTAGTAGAAACGTAGTATAACGTTATTTCCGCAAAAATTGTTTATTTAATTTCGATAAATGTGAGGTGTGAATACAATACAAAACTTAGCTGAACAAATATTTTTTTACTAAGTCTGGCATCTCTTCATCGTGGAAAATATTTCGTTTCAAAAGAAGGCGCAATTACTAGAGTTTATTATTAAATGGTTTTGAACTTAAAGCAAATTTGGTTTATTCCTTGTTGGAAAGAATTGTAGCCGAGTGAGGATAAATTTGATTATAAATAATATTTGATTATAAATATCACATGCGAATCGTTTTTAACATAGCAAAAAATACCTATGCAAGGTAAGTAAGAAAGTAATCAATTAGATTTTATTTAATAAATTAAATTATTTCTAGACTTGTATTTATGAAAATAATGAAGCGAACAAAATCATCTAATACCACGAAACCACAAAAAAAGACTAAGTTACTCAATAGTACCGAAACTTCGGTAAAAACAATAACAACAGAGGACGCAACAACATCCAAATCGAACATAACAGATTTTGCCGTCGCAGTGCAAGAACAAAGATTATTGACGGCAGAAAATATAATTGAATTCCCATTTAAGAAAAAAAGAGTACGTATTTTAACAACAGTTGAAGAAGTTAAAGAACATACTACTGGTGGAATTCTTTATTGGATGTCAAGAGATGCACGGGTTCAAGACAATTGGGCTTTGTTATTTGCACAAAAATTGGCACTTAAAATGCAATTACCACTAATTGTGGCATTTTGTTTGGTACCAAAATTTTTAAACGCGACTATAAGACATTATAAATTTATGCTAGGGGGTTTAGAGGAAGTAGAAAAAGATTTGCAAGAGCTTAATATACCGTTTTATTTATTACTTGGACCCGCAGCGGAACATATACCAAAATTTGTAAAGGAATTTGATATCGGTGCTGTGGTTTGCGACTTTGCACCATTGCGTGTACCGCGAAAGTGGATAGATGATGTTAAAAATTTATTACCTAAGGATATTCCATTAACTCAAGTTGATGCACATAATATAGTTCCAGTGTGGATAGCTTCTGATAAACAAGAGTACGCAGCGCGAACTATACGTAACAAAATAAATTCTAAACTTGGTGAATACTTAACAGAATTTCCACCAATCGTTAAGCATCC